ACTTCTTTATTTATGTCCAATAAGGATTCTTTTTTAATTGTTTGTAGTGTCACTTTCCATTGACTCCAGTAATATAAATGAAAAATATGGTGTGTAAATTACGCACATGCCCCAAGCCATGCTGTCAGTTATTGATGAAAACTGATCATATGATGTAACATGCATACATACACACAGTCAATCTCTATTCCTTCTATTGTTCTTTCTTATGGTAAGTGGGCATCACTCAGTGGGACTTTTCTATGTAGAGAAAGCAGTAGAATACCTACTTCTTTACTGAAACATCTGTTTTTTAGAAGACATACTGTTTTGGCTACAATATATTGAGTCCTCTCTTTTTACTGTGTTCCTGTACTGGACACATTTTTGTTCTTAAACTGCAAAATTATTATGATTGTACCACCTTTGTCTAGGCTGTGCTGATCTCACTGTTCTCAGCTGTCTTTTGTGCTGTTTACACAAAGGATCACTGGAAATCTCTAAATCAGGGATCAAAAGCCGGCTCTGTCCTTTGTATTAGTTTGCTTGCTTTCCTTTAATTGAATCTGCATGCCTTTGTTGGAGGAGAGGGTGTCACTTAAAGCCACATGGGAAGGTGGGATGCCCCACTTTGCTGTGAGATTGTGAAGCATGAGTTTGGAGGACTGTCCCAAAGACTGAGAGCTTGTCCCCGGGTCATCCTCTATCTGCATTTGTTCACCATTTTTGTCTCCTGCTGTCACACTCTCCTTTATTTCGTTGTTGGGCATTTTGCCTTACGATGACTGTTGTATGACTCCTTAGCAAGTCATTATTTTCTTTGTCTCTGCCATAAGGAGACATAGGAATTATTATTTGTATTTCTCCTTTATCCTCATCATTTCTAAAAAAATTTGAGCACGACACTTCTAACTTGTCTTTATTTCTTAAATCCCCCATTCCACTCATTTATAAAGAAAAAAATTATAAGTCAGACATCAAAAGACAAATAGTACTGCATGTTCTCACTTTTATGTGGGATCTAAAAAGGTTGAAATCCTAGAAGCAGAATAAAATGGTAGTTTCTGGGGACTGAGGCAATGGTTGCGGGATGGGGAGAAGCTGGTCAAAGGGTACAAAGTTTCAGTTAGAAGGAATAAGTTTTGGAGATCTATTGTACAGCATAATAACTACAGTTAATAGCAAGTTATCATATATCTGAAATTGCTAAGAAAGTAGATCTGAAATATCCTCACCACAATAAAATGGTAAGTTTGTGACATGAGGGATATGTCAATTTGCTTGATTTAATCATTTCGCAATTTATACATATATCAAAACATCACATGGCACATCATAATTATATATAAAATTTTCATTTATCAATTGCAGCTTAGTAAAGCTGTTGAGTTGATTGGATAAGGCCCCAACCACACTATTGAGGGTGATATCTTTTACTTAATGCCAATTAATCCTTGGTGTTAGGCTTCACAACAACACCTAACCACAACACCTGGGTTGTGGTTAAACAACGGCATGATAGCCTACCTCTACCCAAGTTGACACACGAGAGTAACTATCACAGGAATAGTCTGCAGAATACCTTACCAGGCAAGGTAATGCCAGACAAGGAAGTCTGAGAGACTGTCCTAGACAGTCCAGAGGGGGCTGAGACATGATAACAAAATGTAATGTGGTATCCTAGATGTGACTCTGGAACAAAAAAGGAACATTAAGGAAAAACTAGTGAAATCCAAACGAGATGTAGAGTTTAATAGTGTGTGTATTTGTGTGTGTGTTTGTGTGTGTGTGTGTTTGTGTGTGTGTGTATGTGTGTGTGTGTGTAAGAAAAACAGATACCTGATACCTGAATAGACAGTTCTCCTTTACTGGAGAAACATAGTGTTACAACAAATTACATCCAATGTCCCAGGGAGACAAAGCAGGGCTGAAAATACTGGGCTCAGGAGCCAGAAAGCAGTTTTCTGAAGTGTCTGGAAAAATGACAGCAAGTTGTTTTTTCAGTCTTCTTCCCTGACCAACAGATAAAGCAAAGGTCTAAAACCATGATTGCATGAAAGCAAAAGTCTAAAATGTAGATCTCTTGTTGATCTGTGTTGGATTACATCCTTTAAGATGTGCTTATTATTTGGGCATCGGTGTACAGGTGAATAAATAAAAACGTTCTGAAACAAAACTCAGGATATCCGGTAAAATTTATTTCTCATTTAAGTTACTCTTAATGCTACAGGTAAAATAATTCATTTAGCTTCAAGGGAGCATACTTTTCAGCCATGTATCTTGGAGCAACATTTCGTGTTAAGAAACAAGATGTTTGTAGATGTTCAAAAATTAGGAGCCATGACTGCAAGTCTCAGCTAGGAGAAACTAGGACAAAATTACAAGTAAACCCCAAAATCTTAATGACCGGACAAAACAAAAGTTTATTTTTTATGTATATCACATCTCATTACAGAATAGGAAGGGACTCTCATTCATCCTGTAGATATGCTGTCTGGAATCTGTGACCTCCAAAGCCATAATGGAAAAAGAAAACTGAAGAACTTCAAGGAAATGCCCACACATGGAAGTGGTTGATCCTCTTCCCACTGTCCCTTCTGTCCCATCCTGTTAGTCAAAACTCATTCATAGTGCCCTCACCTAACTGCAGAGTGGGCTGGGTCTTCCTGTGTCCAGGAAGGGAAGCAGCGCAGGGAAAACCTCATGCCTTCTCCCGTCATTGCCACCGAAGTTTGGGAACTCTCACATACTTTATTCCCCCTTACAGAATCATGATGCAAATTAAATATTAAAGGCCTGAAAATTCCTATAATAAGGAAATTGGCCTAGCATTATTTAACTCCGTATTTCCTAAACTCACTTAACAGTGTTCAACTCAGTCCTCATTCACAGGGAACATCAATATTGGGGGGGGAAGAAGCTACATTTGCCTAAACACAGTATGCAGTAACACAAATATAAATTTATCGCTCTTTTTTTAATGTGTCTTTGACCAGTAACTCCCTTCTTCAGACTCCTTTTTGTGTGTGTGTTGCACATTTGCAGCCCATTTTCCTTCATGGTCACCTGATCTAGGAGTCAACATTTATATTAAAATGATGATCTCATGATTTAACTGTTAATGGATGATCTTATTTCTTTAGGTTCAGAATTCTCCTGAAAGGTTTTTTAAAAGTGATAAATAATATTTGTATACATTATGAAGTATGTGTGATTTTTGTTACATGTATAGAATGTGTAATGATTAAGTCAGGGAATTTAGGATATCCATCACCTTGAACATTTATCATGTCTATATGTTGGGAATATTTCAAGTCCTCTTTTCTGGCTATTTTGAAATACACAATGCGCTGTTGTTAACTAGAGTCACCCTTAGAGCATTAGAATTTATTCCTTCTATCTAACTGTATGTATGTACCCATTCGCCAGTCTCTCTGCCGCTAACCCCAGACATTCTCCCCAGCCTCTGGTACCTGTCATTCTACTCTCTATCTCCATGGGATCATGAGAGGTGTTTAATTGGATCCCCAAGTACTGACCTCAAATTCTCTTTAATGAATGTTCCTGAGGTATGAAAAATCTGAAAACGAGATTAACAACCAACTTCTAGAAAGATAGTAGAACATTAGGGTAAGCATTTCATTTAATTACTTAATTGCTATGTTTTTTCTTAGCCCAATGTTTTCTTGCTCATTACTGTTGCCTATATTTTAAAATTCCTTTATATATTACTTGTTGTAGTATACCTATATTTGTTAATCGTTTGCATTATTTTTGGAACAAGGCAGTAAATAGATGATGCATAGAGACATCATGGATAGGTAGATAGATAGATAGATACATGAATAGATATTTTAAATATGGTTTCTGTTGTGGTGATGCACAGTCCATCTGTTTCAGTATTTTGTGACTGGTTGCTCAGGAACCACCTAAAGCTAATGTGAAGTGCAGGAGCGTCCCTTGATATTTTATTGGTATAAAACCTGGATTTTCTAGATTCATGGAGATTTCTGCTTAATGTTGTAAAAGCAGGATGTTAAATCACATTTAATGTGTAAAATGTTTGAAAGTATATAGAAAAATAATAAATGTTCTGGATGTGGCAGAATAAATGTTTATATGTGCTTAATCAAACATCCATTCCTTTATATATCTAAATTATTAAGAATGTATTATATATCATTTGCATAGATATATATGAAAAGTTAAGAGAAACTTAATATGTGACAAAATAAAAAATAATATTGGATACAGGAATATATATTATACCCTTCCTTTATTAACAGGAAGCCATAAAAATAAGTTAATCATGTTCAGCTTTAGTTTTGTTCTTTTGAAGGATCATTCTCAAATATAAACTATTTTTGTCTCTCCTGGCCAGTCATTCCTAATATTTCTCATAGAACTAGTACTAGCAAAAAGTGGGTCTACTCTTGACCTTCTAACTGGCTAGCCAAATGTCAGTTTAAAATAGATATTGTTGTTATTGATTCATTATTATCCATCGATATATTGAGATACTGTGCCAGGTTCTAGGAAGGTAAAGATGAATAAGAGAGAATTTCACAGTTTAGTAAATTGACTGTAGTCCCAAAGGAACAAATAGATTTGTTATTGTGTCAGAGTCTAAAGTTACTCATCTAATGTTCATTCTTCTGCCTTCCACAATAATAAAACCATTCTTCAGGTGCCAAGCGACAAGTTTTCACCCATGTGTCTAAGTTCCCGGCAAAGTAGGAAGTTCGGTGAAACTTCTGGCATTACTGCTGAGAAAGAAAAACAGGCGGGGCCCGGTGGCTCATGCCTGTAATCCCAGCACTTTGGGAGGCCGAGACGGACAGATCACGAGATCAAGAGATCGAGACAATCCTGGCCAACATGGTGAAACCCCATTTCTACTAAAAATACAAAAATTAGCTGGGCGTGATGGGGCACCTGTAGTCCCAGCTACTTGGGAGGCAGAGGCGGGAGAATCACCTGAATCCGGAAGGCGGACTTTGCAGTGAGCTGAGATCGCGCCACTGCACTTCAGGCGACAGAGCGAGAGACTGTCTCAAAACAAAAACAAACCAACAAAAAAGGAAAAACAGAAAACTGGAACATTTTCTGTTAAGAAGCTTCCCCTTCAGCTGCTTGGAATGTGGATAAAATGGCTGGAGATCTGCATCTCTCTTAGCTATGAGACAACTTTACATCCTTGATGGCAGATGGGAAAGATAGAAGGATGCAAGGTTTCTGATAATTTTAGACCAATTACACAATTACGAGCTACCTTTACTCATTTTACTTATGTGAAAAACAGCCCTTATGTATTTACTAATAGATTTAGGATTTTCTGTTACTTGCAGTCAATACAATCCTAAATGATTCACTTATCAATGAAACTAAATGATCTCAATTGATAAATCATTCAAGAACTTGGCCTTGGATACATGAGTCAAGTAGGTAGGTGAGTGAGGCTGTGGACATATGGAAAGAAAGCATATTAATTAGTATATCAGAACTAGGAAGTTACATTGAATGCTCTCTTGACATACACTAATTCCCTCAACATGAACTTATTGTCCAGATTGGTGGAAGCACAATGTCTGTGAAGAAAACGATTTAAAAATAAAGGTGTAGTAAGTTAGAACCAGTTTATAAATAGTCTTCAATGTCTAAGCTAAGAAGACTAAATTTAATTTCTTATGGATTAGACTCACTAAAGACTTTACAAAGTGAGAGAAAAATAATAATATTTAGAGCTGAATACGTAAAACTTAAAATCCTCTAATGTAGTGATTTTCGAAATATGCAAACCTCTGCCTTTAATTCCTCGTGCTTTAAGCTCTCAGAACAGTTTCTCTTTTTCCAGTTGCATCCTGACTTATTCATGGTCAATGCCCTACCTTTTACTGAAGAGAACTGTTGAGGTTGTGAATTTAACTTGCATGGTAATTTTGCAGGCTGCAGCCTGAAAGTTTGGGTCTGATGTTTTAATACATCTGTCCTGAGGCTACAGAAGGTAAAAGATTATTCCAGTACAGGTATAGGCATTCTAGTGTTCTGATCATGCCTTGAGCTGAGAATTTAAAATCCTGAGCATTTTCTTTCTTTAATCTCCACGTAGACATCTTCACCCACAGTCCTTGTGCTCATCGCTTCCTTGTCATTCTGTTCCAGGTCACTTGGACTCTCCAGCTTCACTTTCATTAAGCTCTGAATTCCAGGTAACTACAAGTGACAATTTAAGTAACTGTTTTGTCTCTGCATTTTATGGACTTCCATCTCATTTTCTACCAATGTTAGAGTCATTACTGCCTTCAAATCTCACTAAATGAAATAACCAATAACAAATACTGTCTTCAGGTAATTCTTTACCTAGGAAGTGCTTCTGGTGCCAAATGATATATCAGTCAGGGGCAGACAAGAAAACAGACGTCACTAAAAGTATTACAAACACAACATGATTTATTGTAGGAGCATAGAGACAAATGTTGGAAGTGCTGGTAAAGCAAATATCAGGAAGTTATTTCTGGCTTTCAGAAATTCCAGAAATGACAGAACTGCAGAAAAGCCATTGCTAATAAATGTAGCTCTCTGAAACACTAAGGGCAGTGTGATTCTCAGGAGGATGACCAGATATTGCTAGAAGCTTCTGTTGATTATCAGAGCTACCTATAGCACTGAAGTGGTTAATTCTCAGGAGGATGGCTGAAAGCCACCGGTGAAACTTCCCTTCTGCCATCTGTAGATGCCCTTACTCTAAAAAGAGTAATGAAGTTGCTGAGGAAGAACACCCCATGCACAGTGCAGCACATATGCAAAGACTATTGAAACTGAGTTAATAGTGTAACCAGCGCTCTTGCTTTGCAGAGAAATGAGGAATTATAAAAATGAAATTATAAGCTAAAATCATGCAAAATGATCTTAATCAACAAGAAAAAAATAATTGTTTCACAACCTTTAAAACTTTTTTTCAAACTCTTAAAGAGCCTGTTATTGTCAGTTAAAATCACATAGGAAAGTGAAAAATAGCAAAACTACACTTATTTAGTACATGGTGGTTTAAAACATCAGCAACACTGACAGTTAGCCTGTTTTCTTTATTTGTGTAAAATGTGGCAAGAAGAGCTCCTGAGGAAAATAAAAACGAAGAATAACTGTAAAATTTAAAAGTGAAGAGTAGTGATGGCAATGATTGACATAGAAACAAGTAGTACAAATGTTGAGGGGCAATGAGTAGTCTCATCTTGAATTTCTTAAATTTTAGGTGCATGAGGCTAATCCATGTGGAAACACCAAGCATGCTGCTAAAATTTCAATCTCCATCTCAGGAGATTCAGGAACCAGAGCTACAAATGTAAATGCCATCTACAAAAAAGTTGGAAGTGAAGTTAGGAAATAAAATTGCTGAACTCAGAACCTTCCAATAGATCCCAGGTATATGGTGTGAGGCAGACAAGCCCAGAGAATGGTAGATGGTAGCCTGAAGGGAGACATAAAGAATGGAGAAAATGCACAATTACATAACAAACGGCAGTGAGTTTTAGAACAAAAGTAACAGCAACAATAACAAAGGCAGGCAATGGTAAGAAATGTTGCTGAGATGTACAGTAAGTCCTAAGCAAAAAACCATTAAATCTACGATTTAGAATGTTAATGGAGATTCTTTTTTTTTTTTTTTTTTTTTTTTTTTTGAGACAGAGTTTCGCTCTTGTTATCCAGACTGGAGCGCAATGGCGCGATCTCGGCTCACCGCAACCTCCGCCTCCTGGGTTCAGGCAATTCTCCTGCCTCAGCCTCCTGAGTAGCTGGGACTACAGGCACGCGCCACCATGCCCAGCTAATTTTTTGTAGTTTTAGTAGAGACGGGGTTTCACCATGTTGACCAGGATGGTCTTGATCTCTTGACCTCGTGATCCACCCGCCTCGGCCTCCCTTT